TGACTTCTTCGCCATACAATCCTCCACTGAAGTCATGCCCCCATCCTCCTCCTCCAGGAGTATAAATGACAGCGCGATCACCGGCCTCCATTTTCACCATGTTCTTCGCTCCCATATTTACCCATCGCCACTCCTCCCCTTCCACCCCCTTTATCTTGCGAACCAAGTAGTTTGCTCCACACTGTCCAGGTTCACCTCCGTTCATTCCATAAGGTGCAACAGTACGGCGCTCGGTGATGACACTGAAGCTCAGCGGAGCGCGGCACTCGATGTCTCGCACCACACCGTCACCGCCCTTGTTCATTCCTTTTCCCCCCGTGCCCGGGCGGATGGCGAATTCACGCAGGATAACCGGGTAGCGCTTTTCCAGACTCTCCGGATCAGTGATCCGCGTGTTGGTCATATGCGTATGTACACCGGATGCCCCCGGTTGGGAAGATGTCGCTCCGGAGCCACCACCGATTGTCTCCCCAAACGCGTATGCGTATCCGTTGAGCTTCTTGCCCTCGGCATCTTTGCCGCCCTCGCCGAAAAACCCAATACAATTCATGCAGCCGTGAGAGGCGGCAGCGGCTCGGAAGGCTTTCAGGATGACATCCACAATTCGCTGCGATGTCTGGGTGTTCCCAGCGCACACAGCGGGGCCTGCGGATGGATTCAGAAATGTGCCCTTGGGCAGGACAACATTGATAGGTGTCAGGCAGCCCTGGTTTAAGGGGATGTCACTGCCGATGAGAACACGTAGGCTGTATATAATGGCTGAGTAGGTGATTGCCGGTGGCGCATTGATATTGCTGAGCAGCTCGCAATCGGTCCCAGTAAAGTCAAACACAGCAGACCCATCGCGACCAATCATGACAGTAAGCTTGATTCGCGAACCATTATCCATTCGGTCTTCCGCCACGAGCTGGCTGCCTTTCATAATGATAGTGGCGCGAAGAAAGTCCCGCACCGCCCATTCAGCATTCGATTGGATGCCCTTCATGTACCTCTGCACCACTGGTAGTGTGTATTCCTTGATCAGATCCTGCACCAACATCACGCCCTTGTGATTCGCCGCAACCTGCGCCTTAAGGTCGGAAATATTGTCCGACACATGTCGGCTCCCTGTGCATCCTGGGTATTCGCCTGGACGAAGGAGGATCTCGGTGATACCAAATTCATCAAAGTCTCCCGCATGGATGAGCTTGAACGATCTGATCGCAGCACCCTCCTGCCATAGCTCTGTGGAGTCTGGTGGCATGGATGTTCCCCCAAGGCCACCAATATCAGTGTGGTGACCACGCGAAGCCACATAAAATGCAACCCGCTCGGACGTCTCGAAAACTGGGGTTATCACAGTGATATCAGGCAAGTGTGTACCACCGGCCTCAGGATGGTTGGACACCAGAACATCGCCCGGAACAAGCTTTCCTTTGTGGAGCTCGTGCTGGTACTTGACTGCGTAGCTCATAGAACCAAGATGTACTGGGACATGGGGTGCATTCGCGACCAGCCCTCCTGCATTACGTTAGTTAATCTTTTGGGGTTCATCATCTGCCAACATACCATCTGGCCCAAATAATGCACAAGAGAAATCCAGTCGCTCCTTAATGTTGAGTGACACGGCTGTCTTCTGTAGAACACGACCCATCTGCTCGGCAATACTCATGAAACGATGTGCAAATAACGAGAGCTGGATGCTGTGCGTAGAGTCAGGATCCCGTATTATCTGGCTGGATGTGTCTTTGATCTGGATAACCACGTGGTTACTCAAGACTCTGGCTTCTGCCCCGGGCGTGATCACCAAGGTCTGTGTCTGATCGATGATAATAGCTGGTCCAGTGATAAGAGTCAGTGGCTCTAGCTTGGGCAGTAGAAACACGGGCACCGAAAGCTTTCCAGTTCCGGGAAAGTAGACTTTTGTCTGTGACTATTAGCACTGGCACGATTAAGTAAATGTCGAGTCTCATACCGTTCGCTCTACCATTTCCTGCGGTGCACCACTGAAAGAGGCGTACTTCAGCTTTTGGCCCAGTCTCTGCCCATCTGATCTCTCAAGCGCGTTACAAGTCCCAACGCCTCGGACGCGCACGTCGTCCACAATGATCGGTCTTTCATCAGGAGACAGAAAGGCAAATTCCCGCAGATGCATCCTTTTGAATTCCTCCTTGAAATCGCCATCTGCTGGCTCCAGAACCATAATCGCTGTCTCAGTTCCCTGATATCTCATGTTGAGATATCGCTGGTAGGATATGTCGCCATTTGAAATACCCTGGCCGTTTAGCTGGCGGCAAACCTTATCACGCAGCCGTGATAGCCGATCGAGAAGCCTGCTACGGGATTCATCCCCGTAAACTTCATTAACTGGCTCTTGAGCTTCCTGCACAAAGTCTGCGAGCGCCATTCCTGATGTACTTGTTCAGCTCGTTTCCACATTTGGGAGGTGTGACTGCATACCGTAGGCGGAAAGGATACTTGAATATTTGTGGATGATGACGGTGGATATTCCTAGTTTGCGAGCAACGTCGCAAGCGTGCTGTCCTCCAGCACCTCCGAAAACACTTAAATGATGGTTTGCTGGCCAGCAGTTAATACTGGAAGACAGACTTTTAGGACATGCACGTACCTATGTCATATCCCTTGCCTTCTGTCAAAGCTCGGATTGGCCGGCACATTGCTTCGTTAGCAACGTCAAGAAATCCCCAAGCTACCTCTTCAGGACTCATTTTATTCCCAGTGTCGGAGTAAATGGTCGCTGTTAAATCTGCAAACATTCGCTGCACTGTGTCCAAATCTAGTGCCTCACTTTCATTCTTGCCGAATATTTTCGGGAAATAATCCGGAAGCAACCTTCCGAGGAAGAGGTTTGCATCAGTCACTGTCAGAGGCCCGCGTTTCCGATAGCATGCAGGTCCTGGATGTGACGATGCGCTCTCTGGGCCGACTGCGAAAAGACGCTTCCTCCAGGCCAAAATAGAGCCACCGCCCGCAGCGACCGTGTTTATATCTAGTTGAGGGCTCTGTATCGCCACGCCAGCAGTAGTGGTCTCAAAGATATGCTCAAGCTGCCCTCCGTACCGTGACACATCTGTTGAGGTTCCGCCCATGTCGAAACCAACCACCGGGACCTTGGAAATCTCGTCGTAACTAGTCTGAGCGTAACCAACAACGCCCCCTAGCAAATTAGCATCAGACGACAATTAGGTAGAAGGTAGCTCTTACCTGCAGGACCGCTCAAGAGGCCTTTGATTCCGCTGAATTGGTTGTGGCTAACGAGCCCTCCGTCGGACTGCATGAATTCGCACCTCACACCCTCTAGGTTTCCACCCTCAAACCCCTTCATGAATCCAGCTAAATACCTTCTAATTTCAGGGGTGACGTATGCATCTGCTGATGCTGAACTGCCTCGGGGTACCATCTTGATCATATTGGCTGCCACGGCAGAGGACAATGAAATATGACTGAAACCTTCCTCTATGGCTAACTGATGAACTCTCACCTCGTGGTCTGGAAATATATGGGAGTGGGTCAAGCAGACAGCAAGCGTGTCAAACCCCTTACCACGGAGCTCCCTGAGTACACGCCGGACTTGTTCATCGTCGATTGGCTTCAGAATACGCACCATATCACCGCTTGTACCACGGACCAGGACGTCAGGTATTTCTTCGGTGGTATTGAAGAGCCCATCGACATCTTCATCGAATCCCTCAATCGTCACTCTAGCATCGATTTCATGGACTTCATCGTACAAGACAGCCGGCTTGACAATGTTGAGTTCGAAGAGTCGAGGTCGTGACTGGTACCCGATGTTCAGCAAGTCGCGGAATCCCTTGGTTACGAGAAATGCATGCCGGGTGCCTTTCCTCTCAAGCAGAGCGTTCGTCGCAACAGTTGTTCCCATACGAATGAACTCTAGGTCTGTCTTCGGAAGTGGCTGGCTGCGAGGGATCTCCTTGCCGTAGTATAAAGATAGTACGCGGCGTACACCTGACACAGTGAGCCCTTGATCATGGTGTGGTGTCAAATTGCAATACCCTCTGTGGGTGCATCATCATAATTGGACGGATCAACCGAAAGGAGCTTGAGGACAATGTCTGACCGTCCAGGCAGACCGGCCCAGACGTCAGTGAAAGTGCCCCCTCGGTCTTAGGAAAAGCCAAGCCAGATTAGCGAAATTTTTCCTGGGTTAGTGGATATGGAAATCCTCACCGATTGCAATTTTCACCTTTCCCACACCTACATTCATGGTGGATGGAAACTGTGGTTGATCTGCTACAAGAAATCTTTTCCGGCACTGCAGGTTACTGTCTTTTATAGCCTGGTTTCACTGATCGGACAGAACACCGCTGCACCTGCTCGACAGGCTGTCCTGGGAGCGAGGAAGGTCCAAACGAGTCTCTGACGGATCCATCCGCCGATAACCCATGATTCTCGGCCCAAAGCCGGTCATTCTCAGCAGTCTGTGGGAGCATGACTCGACGCGAGTGCATGGCAGGAGGATCTTGTCCCTTCTGGCTGCAAAATTGCTGCCGCATTGGGCTAAGAAAAGAGGGGAAGGAACAAGGGCCTCAGGCGCCGGTGCTCTCTAAGGCCGCATCTCTGGTCAACCGATAATTTATCCATCAATAATTTGATAACCAGCCGCCCAGCAGCTCCACTGTCGGACATTGTAGATTAATACCCCTCATCAAAATGATGTGATTGCCAGTACTAGAACTTGACTGGCTTATGCATCGGACATGGCCGCGTTGGGGGCACCAATGAGTGTGCCAGATTAGTGTGACAGTGATTAGACCCCTGCAAGCGCTTCCCACCCGAGGGAAGCCTTCCAGCGCCCGGCGCAGTAGTCTTCGCAGAGATTTTCTTGACGGGGGTGGTGCAACTAGCAGAGCGGGAAACGATAGTAGAATATATATCTCTCCCTATAACTGGTCTCCACCGCGCACAAATCGGGGACGTTCAGTTGTTAGTATGGCACGTGAACCCATCCCGTGATTCACCGACCCTAGCAGATCGCCATGGGAGAGACGAACACAGCAGTAGAGATGTCAACATTACCACTAGGAAAGATGGAGATCGAAAAGGAAGTTGATGGAGCTGCTTCGTACCTTGCTCACAGCACAAGTTATCCTCCCATGACATTGGAAGTGGAAAGAAAATTGTTGCGCAAGATCGACTGCATTCTAGTTCCCATGGTAAGCTTCTTACCAGACCATAAGCATTACGTCTACTGATCAAGGCCAGCTTCTGCTCACCGCCACTCTCGGGGCAGTGGACAAGGTTGCTCTCAGTACTGCGGCAATCTATGGACTGGAGAAAGGTATCGATGGCCATCGCTATCGCATATTGCCCTAACAAGTATCTAGATCTTCATCTCGTTGGTCAACAGTACTCCTGGGCGGGATCAATTTTATCTATCGGTGTACGTGTTTCTTACTGTTGTCCATTACCCAAAATCTGACACTGAGGAAGGCCATCATTGGGATGTGCCCTTCTTCCTTCCTCGTACAGCGACTCCCATCCGCAAAATATCTTTCTTCGTGCTCCCTCGGCTGGTCCTGCTTAGCTCTGCTGATACCCGCATCGAAAAACTGGAACGGGCTGATGGCGCTGAGGTTTTTTATGGGTATGTTCTCAAGGTACACTCAACAACACTGATAAGGACGCCATGATAGTGATATCCCTAATCTAGGCTACCTTGAAGCAATCATCGTCCCAACGATTAGTCTCATCGTCGCCGGCTTCTATAAAAAGGCGGAACAACCTCCACGAAATGCAATTGTGTTCGCTGCTTTCAGCTCCGTGATCAATGGGTTCCTGTCTTGGGCAGTCGGGCATATCCCCGACTCTGCACCTCTGGCTATCTGGCAATATCTTTACCTGATTGTCGGTAAGTGAAACACCTATCATAGTACTGCGATCTGCTAAGTACTTAGGCTCTCTTTCCGCAGTGTGGTCCATAACAGCGTTCGTGCTTCTACCAGAATCGCCGATGAACGCCTTCTTTTTCACCGACCAGGAAAGTTTCTATGCAACCCAACGTCTGGCGGAAAACCAAACCGGCATCATAAACAAAGAATGGAAACGGGAACAGGCTCTTGAAGCTGTGTTGGATGCCAAAACTTGGATTCTGTTTTCCTTCAACATAGCTATCAACATTCCTAATGGAGGTAAACTGCCTTCTCGCGTGTAGCTCTACTATCGCTTACGATATAGGTCTGACTACGTTTAGTGGCATCCTGATCAACAATCTTGGCTTCACTGCGGTTAAGGCCTCCCTCCTGAATATGCCGACCGGGGTAATGTCCACTTTATCTGCGTTTTCATTCTCCTGGCTAGCCGCACGCTGGACAAATCGAAGGTGCCTCGTTACGATGATGGCATGCTGTTTGCCCATTGCCGGATCGGCCTTGGTGTACTCCCTCCCACGAACAAACGTTGCAGGGCAAATAGTCGGAATCTACCTCGTAGGTCCTTCCAGCCGTTGACCAGCATTCATGCTCACAGAGCTCTAGCTTTACACTTACTTTGGCCCGTACGTAGTCGGTAAGTGCTGTCTGTCATGTGTATTTTTGCCTATCTTGCAAGCTGACAAGCAAGGAATCTCCATGGCGCAAGCTAATACTGCTGGACACACGAAAAAGACTGTGCAGTACTCCATTTTATATATAGGATACGCCCTTGGTGAGTCCATGCTGGATATTTATTTTTCATAAGATTGTGTCATCTTTGCTTTTATTTCCACTTACTAATGTAATTGAAGGAAATCTCATCGGACCCCAAACCTTCCGTGCTAGTCAAGCGCCCGCCTACACAGGCGGATTTATCGCCATGTTAATATGCTACTGCATATGCGTCGCACTGACGGGACTTTACTGGGTGTTGGTCTTGAAATACAACCGGCGACTTGCCAACATTGACCCAGACTCACAAGTTACAAATGAAGATTTGACAGAAGCTTTTGCCGATAGAACGGACTTCCAACAGACGAATTTTAGATATACTACATGATAAAACACCTTCCGAAGAGGACGTTTGGCTATTTATGCTTTTTTATAAAAGCCCTGAATAAAGTAACAACCTATTATGTCTCAGCCTAATCAGCCAACACAATCCAATGGCAGATGTGTGGCTAGCAATTCACTCGATGTGCTATCTCTAGGCCCGGATTTCCACTTCCGATACATTCCGGATAGCTATAATGAGTGGCAGGGATGTGGTGTGGCCGCGTCACTCTAAGAGCTGCAGCTAGTCGTAGTTTGGTGCTGTTAATATAAGCGCCGGCCCATTCCCCGCTCTTCGGGCGGGCTGCCTCCTTCCTTCCATTACGCCCCCTAAACAGACGCAGGCCACGACGACGGCCCGGGACACACTTCCACCTGTAACCGCCCCTCATTTCGTATGTGCCACGTACATGCATGCCATCTTCTCCGAAAATGTCGGTTGGGAATCACCGTCCCTCTGGTTGCTTTCAGTGTAAAGGTACGGACCTGAACATGAAGAATTCTCGAGGCGGGCATATTGACGCCGGATGCAGCACTTGGCCTGCGCTGCATTGGAGATCTCCCCCGCTGTACACGATGCAGAACTCTGGATTTGACGTGCGAGGAGTTTACGTTTGTGGAGGAACCCGTGGAGCAAGGAATTAGCCTAGGCCGTAGAGGTGGGTTTCACCAGATGAGCGTTATTGGCATTATCATAGGTATGGCTCATGATTGTCCATAGGAACGTGGTCAAAACAACAGAGAAGTATTCTAGATCTACCCGCCTCTAAGCCCGCTCATCGAGAGATGGTATCGCTGGACGAGTACAGTGGCCGGTGGGTATTCCTTAATCTCACTGTGAAGAATTACCTCGAGGACACAGGCGAGGTAGACTATGATTCCGACAATGAGGACACAGTCATGCAGGACTTGTCTGGTGAATCGGATGATGCGCTTCAACTACGCTCTGTCCTAAGCCATCCGCTTTCCGAATACTCCCATTCTGAGAGTTATCTGCTCCAATACTTTATTCAGAGTATCGGGCCGGATTGTTCGCTCAGCAGCATTGACAACCCATACATCACTTTGCTGACACCACTTGCTTTCTGCCATCCAGCTCTCCGGAATGCCATGGTGTCTGTAGCAGCTAATCAGCTTCGCTTACTTGGTGATGCCCGATATGCCAACGAGGCGGCACTTTACAAGAATAGAGCGATACAGGGATTGCAGCAGGCAGTCGAGCTCCAGAATATAGATGATGGAATAATAGGCACTATTCTGATGTTGTGCTTTTACGATGTACGTGATATTGTGGACATTGGCTTTAACAACTGCTGACATGGCAACTTACAGATATCGGATAAATGCGATTCATCTTGGGTAAAACATCTCGAAGCAGGTCTGGACCTCTTGGACTGCCTTCCTTGTAGTGCTTCGTCAAGCCAGGGGTTGCGAAGGTTTTTCCAAATGTATTTTGTCGCCCACGCTATCATGCGTCGGACGGCATCGCCAGGAATGATGTATGAAAATGGGCGATATGGTTGGTCAGAAAACGATAATCTTGATGAGGTTTGTCCCACATGAACTTCGTCGATTCCGAATCTAATCTTTTGTTAGATTGATACAATAATGGGCTGCTCACGGCGACTCATGGGGATGACCAATGACATTTCTGATCTACCTTCCGATGAGCATATGGTAAACGTACATCTCCTCAGCTTTCAACTCAGCAAATCGACACGCGTCTAATGCTCCACAGAAAACCATAAACGCTGGGCCAGCCGATACCTACATATCAAGAGCAAATCGCCTTGCTTGCTCCCTCATCAACCTCACCCAGACCCTCCCACCCCACCTACAACACAGAGAAGATATAGCTCGAATCGCCGAAACGAAGCGTCTAGCAGCATTACTGTACTTGATCGAGCGGGTCGGCTCCACTACCTATCGCAGGCAATTCATCCCAAGAACGGATAAGCGCACATTAGTGAATAATATGATTGATCTCATCCAGAGTCTTCCTGATTCTGCTACTTTACTGTGGCCGTTATACGTTCTCGGGCAGACCGCACTGGATGATCAGGATCATCGCCGGTTCGTGATGGATCGACTAGAGCGGATAGAACGGACACGGAACCTAGGGAGTGTCCGACGAGCCAGGACAGCGATGAAAGATACGTTTCGGATTATGGATATGCGATATACGGTTCGACGGAGGGATGGGAGGTTTGAAAATATTAGTCTGGCTTGACCGTTACCGTGAGGTGATATTAGAGAAGCTCCATGCATGCTCGTCATTCCTCTATCCCAATGTACCACATAGCTCTACCCCATCACAGGCACAACTAAGCAAGATACACAATCTTCAACACCCAGCAAAACTCCTCTCCATCCCATACCCCCTCAGGAACCCTAAACGTAAATCCCTCCGTCGCACTCCCCTCCCACTCAACCTCTACCTCCCTTTCCCCATCGCCACCCACCACAACAACTCTATCCCCCCTCAACAACGGCACCGACGCATCCACAAACACCTTCTTCCCCGGATCCCCCAGAAACAACAAATAAAACGCCTCATTCGTCTGCGTAAACCTCACCCCGACATCCCCACCATCACCTGTCACACCAACCGCCTCACTCCTCACCCACCAAACCCTCGTCCCAAACACCGCCTCCCCATGTCCTCGAATCCACTCCCCAGCCCTCCTCAACTCCCTCTCCTCCCTCTCGACAATACTCCCATCCGCGCGCGGCCCAACATCCAACAAAAAATTCCCATTCTTACTCACCATATCCACCAGATCCCTGACCACCGTACTAGCATTCATATAACTTCTTTCCGCAGTCGCCCGATTAAACCCATAACTATACGGATCCATGCCCATATTACTCTCCCACTTGCGCAACTGCGCCGAGCTAAACGTCGCATACTCGGGCGTATCGAAGTCGGACACTTCCGCGACCCCGCACCGCGAATTAATTGCCACTTGGCGATTATCTGCACGCGCGGAATTGAACCATTCGCTAGCGAAAGACGCAGTCCCGTTCGCGGCCCCGCAGTCACACCACATGATGTCTGTGCTGTAATTGTGAGCTAGAATGGTCATTTGGGGAACCATTACGTCTGTGATGAAATCCGTGACGGGGATGCGGCCTGTGTAGGGTTCATTCAGGCCAGTGTAGGGGTTGCGGGCGATGATGCCTGGCCAGCTGGTGGAGGTGTTCCCCGGGAGTTCGGCGAACCCGTAGGGCCCGAAGTCTGGATTGAACCATTCTGGGAGGGAGAAGTAGGTGCCGCGTTTTAGGGTGGGGTGGTGGATTGAGGACGCGGTGAAGAGTTCTGACACGAGGTCCCGGTGCGGGCCGTAGTGGAGGGAGGAGCGGTTGGTGGTGTTTTGCGTGTCGAAGAGGGCGAACCCGTCGTGGTGTTTGGTTGTTAGCACGAAGTATTTGGCCCCCGAGGCTGAGATGAGGTCGACCCAGGCTTTCGGGGAGAAGTTAGCTGCTGTGAAGGAGGGGAACGAGTCGTCGTAGTTCCAGGTGGGCCCGAAGGTGCGCAGCCGGTAGTCGTAGGTGTCGGATTTGTCGGCGGCACGGTGCGTGGTGTACCACCTGACGGTTTTCTATGTTAGATGGGTTTGGGGGAAGAGGTTGGGATATGGGGAAGGGGGGTGGAGTACCAGAACCACTCGGCGTAGCTTTCGTAGGGAGTCGAGTTGCCCCAGCCGGGGACGGAGTAGGGACCCCAGTGGATCATGATGCCGAATTTGGCGTCGTCGAACCATTCAGGGCTTTCATGTTGTGAGAGGCTAGACAGGTCTGAGGTCCATTCTGTTAGGCCGAGGGAGAGGGGGTGAGGGTAGGTTTGGTGCTGGATGGAGTGGGTGTAGTTGAGGATAACGGTTGCTGTTCCGTTCGCCGTGCCGTTGATGCCGATGTTGACGCGTTTCTGGTCGCCGGGACAGAGTCGTTTGACGTTTGCGGGCTCTAGGGTTCGGATTCCAGGCATGGATAATGATAAGTTGACTCCAGGTCCTGCGATGCAGCTGCTGCCTGGGTTGTTGATGGTCACTTCGACTATCTGGTTGCCGCTTTCTGTCCACTTTTGGGTCGGGCGCACGAATTGCACTTGGGCTGATGGGGCGGTGGATTTCCACAGGGATACGGAAAAAATATGCAGTCTGCCGGTGGTTGTGTTGGTAGTGACTGGCAGGGTGATCGAATGCAGAGTCTTGTTGGGATCCAGTGCTGCAGAGTATTCGAAGATGTGAGATGTGTTGAAGTTGGTGTCGTTGTGAGTGTACCGGTAGGGGAAGATGATCTCGCCGCGATTGATTGTCAGGAATGCCCACCAAGGTAGACTGCGCAGCTCGGAGACAAGTGTCGAGTCGTCTGAATACGTGTATGTCACATTCCCCGACACGGTGGACAGCTGAACGTCGGATGTTACCAACATGGATGCTGAGAAGTACTGGTCGCGAGGCACATTGATTGTCTGGCCTTCACAGACAACATTGTCAGGGAGGTCGGGCCCACGATAGCCCGGAAAGTCGTAGACAACACCAGTGTGCGTGGAGGTGTAGGTTCCATTGATGCCAATAATGCTGGGGTCTGGATAGGACTGATTCAACGCATCAAAGGACGTCTGGCCGGGATATACGCCAAATGCCTTGTTGTTGAAGTACGAATCGAGGGAGACGAATTCCGACTGAATGATCAGCTTGAGTCCCAATGGTACGGTAACTACTAACCTGCGTTACTGCAGCTGCAGTGACAGCTAACTGCCATGCGATGGCTATCTGGGTAACGAGCTTCATGATGCATACACTCTCCTGTATGGGCGTAAAATCTACACTCACCCGACGAAGCGGGGAAGCAGTGCAGAAGTAGTCATGCCGACTTCATATCCCCCCACCAGAAATGGCACAGTGACATCCTGTCTGCAAGGTGAAGCAAATCCAGCAAGTGGCCGCCTGTCATTGGAACACGCCGATCATTTAGATTAAACGGCCGGCGTGCGGGGAGATATCAAGTGCGGCAAAGATACGCGGAGATAAGTGCTAATCACGCTCATATCCTGGTCGGCCCAGCCGGGCACTAAACAACGTGAGCGCCACTGTTACATCGGCTGATGTCCGAGTGGAGGTCTGCAGTATGCCGACTGATAAGAAGCACCGGCTCCCAGGATGTTCCTGCATGATGCACCGACGCAATGTGGACGACCTTTCTTTCTGTGGCAGCTGGGCTAGCCAGTCTGCCATTGACTCGTGCCTTTAACAATCCCCCAGGGGTGGACATCTGGTGCGGCAAGGCCTATCGAGCAAGGTATGTTATAGCAAAGACTTGATATAACACGACTAACTTTGTTAGCAATGCTTCATTCAACCCTGGTGGCTGGTTCGAGCAGCCCTCGTACTCTTCCACCCCCCTGCTCAATCTCAAGGTCCGGCCACGGATGAGCATCTATCTCGAGACAGATGCAAAGGGTAGCCTTCTCGTCGACACCACCGTCTCTCACCTCGTTGGTGATCCTCTACCAGTACAGACCAGCACAAACTACACAGACCAGCACATCCATGTCAACATCGACATTTCCGCCGACAAGACCCCAATTGCATCTATCACCAACTATACCCTCCCTCTTGACATCACCAAAGCCGAAATTCCCCTCTCCTTTGACGACCTTACCCCAAAGCTAACCCCCTACACCATCACCACCACCGCATCCCTCTCCAACAGCATCACCAACACCACCTTCACCACCTCCTCCGAACTCTTCTACCTCCCCCAGCGCACTGATGGCGGCAGCGCCACCCGCATCGACCACCGCACGGGCATGCTCTCCTACATCCGTAACCAATCCGTAACCTGGACTCCAATCTTCCCCTACACATACTACGGTACCTCCCCGGTCCCTTCGCTCCCCTCCACACACCCAGTCTAACCATAGAACAGCCCAATGGTCTCTCTACTGGGACACCAACACCACAACTCTAACCACCTTCGCCTCCCAAGGCTACAATGTAATCCACATCGTTCCCACCGGGACCCTCAGCGACACCCCCTTCCCCTGGTCCACCTTCACCCCCTATCTCACTTCATCCGACATGCACAACCTCCACCTCCAATACGACGTCCTCTTCGACCCGACCAACCTCACCAAGCTCACCGACCAAGTCTCCCACATCCACACCCACCCCTCCCTCCTCC